TCGTACACGAATCCACCCCTCTCTCCACGACCCGCACACTGCGCAACCGAGCAGTCCCGTACCCTCGTACCTCCACGGCTCTAGGTTTAATTTATATGTTAGAAAATGCTGTGGAGGATCAGTGAAAAATTGAGTTTTGAATACGGTTAGAGTTACGGTTGCGGTTCGTCGATTCCGCGCAGCTAAAAATCGGCTGGCGCCCTAAACACATTTTTAAGGATTGGAAAGAGCTGCTGATTACCCCCGGAGTTTCGTTTAGATTTTTCGGTTTTGTCGTTCCAGAGTCGTCAGAGTGGCGAGAACGAAGGAAATGGTTTTGGCCGTGTTTTCGGTTATCGATTTAATGGGCTAGGGTTTTTGAGTATTTGCTGAGGCCATAGAGTGAAAATCATTACAGACTATACTCCACCCTCTACGCGGCCGCTCTCGCCGTCAGCTCTCTTAAGTATAATGAGACGGTGGGATCTTCAATTTCGCGGCGAATCCGTTGAAGATGTTGAAGACTTCATCAGCCGCGTGGATGAAGGAATCGCGTTCATTCGAGCCCCGGAAGACCTCGTTCTCGATGCGCTCACCTTCTTCCTGAAGGGATCTGCTCTAGTCTGGTACCGTGGCCAGGATCACTCAGGCAAAACCTGGAGGGAATTAAAAGACGATTTTCGTACCTTTTTCGCGGACGTGGAATATCAAATCGCGCTACGTAACGAGATTACCGCTCGCACAATGGGTCCTGACGAGAGGGCCAGAGATTATTTTGCCTGCATGAGAGGACTTTTCCAGAGAACCTCTCCTCGGTGGCCCGAAACGGAATGCGTGCGGTACGCTCATTGGAACCTTCTGTTCAAATACAAAGCTCAGCTACCTGAACCTCCAGCGACCCTCGACCAACTCGAACGTCAAATCACGAAATATGAAAAGGTCCTGGAGAGTGAGCATCAGAGAAAGCTACCCCCGCGTCCCGAAGAATCATTATGCCCAAGTTTCGCGTATCGCCCCGCGAAAGCTACCTCACGATCACTACCTAGGAGGGGATGGGCTCCCTCCAGAACTGTTCGGCGAACCTTCCATCTCGGGGAGGACGAAGCAGAGGAAGCTACCTATCCAGATTTCGAGGAAACGGAGGACATGCGGGAGGAAACCCTGGAAGTGGCTAGGGAATATCGGCGTAAACCTCAAAATCGCCACGTACAATTCTCTGCTACCTCTCCCCCGGCAAGGAACTCCCCTCACTACCACCGTTCACCCTCTCGCCAGCTACCTTCCCGACAGCTACCTTCACGTCAGTTACCTTACAACGAATTACCTTCTCGTCAGCTACCTACTCGAGGGCCATACGAGCCGCGACCTCCTCGTCGGCTACCTCCTCAACCGTCGTCTACGCAAATGCTACCTACACCAGCTACCTTCAGGGGAAATCGCGACCCTGCACCCCAGGCCCACCTGGCTTCGCCGATCAATCAGGCCAATGCGTACGACTCTGACGACGATGCCCCCTTCGATGAGGCCGACCCTCTAGCGGGCCTCCAAATGGGGGAGCTCTATTGCTGGAATTGCAATCAGGTCGGACATCGCCATAGACAATGCCCCAATGCTCGCAGGCTATTCTGCTATCGTTGCGGGAAGTCAGGTGTCTCCTCACGAACCTGCGAACACTGCGCTACCTCTAGCACACCTGACGAGACAGCTACCTCGGGAAACGCCCAGTGAGACGACCTCCGCCGGAAAAGGCGTCTCCACGGGCCGAAGTCCCGGCGCTATTCACGCTACCTAGAAACGAGACGGACTCCCTCGGATCCCCACAGACCGAGCCCGATCTGGGGGCAGTTCAAAGCTACCTCTCCGGCGAAACTCTGGTTGCCCCGGAAACGCTACCTCAAAATATTCTCGTGAACTCTACCGCCGACAGGAGGCCGCTATCTTTCCGGTTAGACATTAGGATCGGCGGGAAAACCTTTCGAGCCTTGGTCGACTCCGGAGCCTCTAGAACCTTCGCCGGTCCCGTCGGCATCGAGATTTTCAAGCAGGCCGAGCTACCTTCGCTACCGGTAGCTCCGAAACGCATAATCTGCGCCGCCGGCCAGATCGAATACGTCGGTCTGCTCACTAAATTTGAATGCATGTTAGGAGGACGCACGCTCTCTGCCGAGGCGTACCTCCTCCCAAAGCTCGCGGAGGATTTCATCATCGGGATGTTGTTACCTAGAAGGCTATCGGTTCACCGTGATTACCGACCATAGTAGCCTTGGTTGGCTAAATAACCTGCGAAACTCGACCGGCCGACTCGCGAGGTGGGCCCTCGGACTGATGGAATATGACTACACAATCATCCATCGAAAGGGTGCCCTTCACCACGTCCCCGACGCGCTATCTCGAGCTCCCGAGGGGCTGACCGACCCGGACGAGTCTCGCAACCCCGAGGGTGAACCCATGGCTACCTATTCCGCGACCCCCCTTTACGCTACCTCCATCGAACCACACGCTACCTATAACGAAGTATTAGCTATCTGCGCCGATACCAAAGACAGTTGGTATAAACGACGGTATCGGGGTGTCCAACATGCTCCCGCGAAGCTACCTGATTATAAAATCGTGGACAACCGGCTATATATACACCGACCGAGTCAGCTGGCCGCCCAGGAATTCGAGGATCTCGACGCGTGGAAATTAGTGCTACCTAGAGAGTTACGTAATCAGGCGATCCACGAAGCCCATGAGCTACCTCAATCTGGTCATCTAGGAATCGATAAGACGTACCGCCGCGTCTCGCTTCGTTATCACTGGCCGTCCATGCTCAAGGACATTACTCTCTACGTCAACCACTGTACTACCTGTCAACGATGTAAGGTGGAACAGGCGGCTCCCGCCGGGTTAATGGGCCGACGGTTCATTGAAGAACCCTGGACCACCATCGCCGCGGAAATTATGGGGCCGATCACCCCCAGCAAAGCGGGCTACCGGTACATCCTCGTTATACAAGACCTATTCACGAAATGGATCGAGGTCGTTCCTCTACGCTCCGCGACTGGCAAAAAGATCCGTGAGGTAATCGAGCAACAAGTTATCTCGCGATGGGGGACCCCCGGGTATTGCTAACTGACAACGGCACCGAGTTCGTGAATCGAGAAGTCGAAGCGTTGGCGCTATTGACCGGACTCGAACATAGAACCACGCCGCCCTATGACCCGCAGGCCAACCCCGTGGAGCGTGTGAATCGCGTTATTAAAATGATGCTACGGGCATTCACGGGAGAAAACCATCGGCTGTGGGACGCTCACTTACACGACTTCATGCTCGCCTTTAACACCGCCTTACACAGCTCCCTGCAGGCCACCCCGGCCTTCGCTAACTTCGGTCGCGAACCCCTCGTTGCTACCTCTCTTCGTCGGGAAGTGGAAGGGGACGCGGAGATCGTCCCCCGGAAACCGGAGGAGTGGATCGAACGGATGAATCGCTTAAATTCGTTACGACGGGTATTCACACATGCCTTGGCGGAGGCTCAAAATCAACAAGCTCACTAATATAACTTACGCCGTCGCGATGTGGAATTCGAAGTTGGAGACGTCGTATTACGCCGCTCCCACCCACTATCTAATGCCGCCAAACAATTCTCTGCGTCATTGGCCCAGCCGTTTGAAGGGCCCTTCCTAATCGCGAAAAAGCAATCTCGAACCCGTTACGAGCTCACCTATATGTTAGGCAGGGATAAGGGGGAAACGTCCATCCAAGATCTTAAACGCTACCGGCTCCCTTTGATCGAGGACTAGGATACCCGTCGGCCGGATGCTATCTACACTAATTTATCCGTAAGCCCGTTCGCTCCCTCACGCTACCTACTCCGCGTCACCTAACTCACGCTACCTGCAAGGTTCCTGCCTGAGCACCTCTCACCCTCTCCGCATGGATGGATAGAGTCTCGCTACCACCGCTACCGCCAACATAGCATTTAACCTCACAGTGACCAGAGACTCCCTATAACAAGCTCTCGTTTCTAGGAACAACCTCGGCCACCAGCCCGAGTCAAACGCCGACGGAACCCCGTACAACTCCGAGCCATGGAGGAGAAACAGGGAAAATAGGCCACCCCAGGAGACGCGTCGGCTAGCGCCCCGTCACCTCGGGGTGCGGCCCCCGCAGAGGAGGATTCCACCAACCGTAGCCCCGTGGACTTCGTTCTGGCCGAGCTATTACCACTCCAACCACAGCTAGAATACTGGGACCGGGAACGGCCTGGGACCACTAGAGATCGAGTCCCGGGGGACCAAGTAGGGAGCAGTTACTCCCCTCGTAGCCCGTGCAGCAGCGTCTCCAGCGAAGCCAGTGCCCTCATGGACGAAGGCCGAAACCCCGAGTCCAACAGGGTGACCGGAGCAGTCGTCACTTCGGGAGCACCTCAGTCATCCCAGGAAACCATGACCAACCCGAAGGGGCGCCCCAGGATCTCGTCCATCAGACCCTGCAAGGTGGACATAGTGCGATTGCCGTTACCAACTGTGGAGCACGCCCAGCTCTCCGCCCGTTCGTCAACGCGCCCAGCGTCCAGTGGCGCGGAGTCAGACGTCCTACAGGTAGATTTGACGGAGGACGACCGAGAATTGGGCAACTCCTGCGAGTCACTCCCCGGATCTTTCCACCTGGTCTCGAGAAAGACCCAACCACCCAACCTGAGGGTCCCACCACGCTCTCGACCTCGCGGTGCTGCCCGACCATCCACCAGCGCCCCCAACTTGCGACGGGGGGCCGCGACACGAGCCCCGACAGGACGGACCCCCCATTCCAGTACCACCTCCGGGGTAACCACGGTATGCCAGGTCGACGCCCACTCCACGACTGGACCTGAAAGGGAAGTGGCCAGCACGATTTCGAAGGCGGCGAGGCCGAGACCAGACAGCCAGGAAAAGGAGGCGAAAGGGGACCAGGAGTTACCCAAACCGCTGTCATGGTGGGGGAAGACAGAGGCGCCCCTCCCGGCGGGGGCCCGGAAGTAATCACCATTCGGGAGGATGATCAGCAGGAGGAAGGACGACCAGTCAACGGGAACCAGACCACCCAGCCCCCAGTGTTTCAACTGTGGGGTTCCCTCCCATCGACGACAGCAGTGCCCGAAACCGGCAATCGTCGTCTGCTTCCGTTGCGGCCGAAAGGGTAATACGACGAGGACTTGCCCCCAGTGCGGCGACCAGTGGAGGGCCGAGGGGCCGTACATACCAGCCCTCGGACGGAACGTCCCTAGGGACCAGCTCACGGCTCAGCAGCCCAAGCCTCCCGCAGAGGAGGGCAGGAAGAAGAAAGGCAGACGCGCCCCCAGGGCGCAACGCCCACTCGACACGAGGGCTAGAGCAGGACCACCCCCGTCACCACCTGAGCGACACTGGGATTATCAGACCACCACGCACTAGTTTAGGGGAAACCCCTACGACTACGGGGAGCAGGGTAGGGAGGCCCCCAGATCATCACCAGGCCAGGGCTACGGGCAGCCACTCCCAAAACCCGAAGCCTTTTCTATTCCACCTAGAGGGCGCGGATGGAGCCGACCACCACCTGAGGCTCACTGGGTTCGCCGTATCCACCACGGGCTGGGAGAACTGCCAACCGGACATGACGGCACCAGCTACTGGGAGAGATACCCACCTCCAGGAAGAATCCCAACCAACCAAGAGGCAGAATATGCCCCCCATCATACATACATCCTAGCACCTCCCGAAGCTCACTCAACGAGGAACTCGGACATGGACCACGAGAGGGGGCCCTACTACCCATCGAGCTACCCGAGGCACGACCAAAGCTACTCACCCCGAGGACCGGAGCCGTCACCACCAGGCTACTGGTGAACACCGTATGGCGGGAGAGGTTTCTCCGTAAGACCGATGGTTCTCTATGCTACCTACTCTACAAGTATCACGGCTGGGGAGACCCTTGCGTAAGACCATCAGCTCTCTCCGCTACCTAGCCACGCTACCCACTCATGTTTACATGCTACCTACTTTTCCACGTTTGTTCCTTTAATTGCTTTTCCCTCGGCGCAGCCTCATTCTCTTTTTCTTGGGCCCCACCATATCTAGGCTTGTTTCGCCCTTCGACTCGGCCACGTTTTGTTTCTTTTTCTGTGGCCTCGCCGCACAAGCCCGCGCCCATACAATGCTACACTTTTGTTAATATTTCAAAACGGGACTACCCGAATGGTTCCTCTAAGTCCCGTTTGCTATTCTACAATAAAAATTTGTTTTTTTCTGGGTATCGGGTGTCACTACTCATTGTAGAAAGTTGGAGGGGAGACCCTCAGGGGGTGGGTTCGATTGCTTTGTTTCAGCCACCCGAAACCCCGGATCCACCCACCAGCGGCCAACGACCTCATGGGAGGGTTGCCCTATCCCGGAGACGACAAAGGACCAACACCGCCCAGGAACTCAAGCCCATGAACGAAAGCCCCGAGAGGACTACGGGAACCTGGAGCTGAGACTTCACGAGAACCACCCCAATAAGGAACGTCAGGGGAGGGGGACTGTGACGAAATTCCAGGCGAATCCGTCACCTGTATTCCCGTAGGGTAACTACCTAGGTTAAGGGCGAGAGAGAATCGCGAAAATTTAATAAAAATTACATGCTACCTTAGTTAAACTCGCGAAAAGCTAACTGTTACCTAAATATAATCCGGGGAAAAGCTACCTGAATAATCCCCGAGTAATTAGCTACCTGCTACCTAATCTCCCCGCGGAGACAGCTACCTGATACTTTCTCGGATTTCCATTAGGCTCGCGACAGTAAAATAATCATTAAAGTAACAAGTAGAGACAGCAGTTAAATCCCTACGGTTTAGGTCAATCCTGATAAAAATACGGTTATAGTTATCGATTAGAAGATAGTTCAACTTCCCCCTAAAAATCCCTGGTAGAGGAGTTGAGAATAGTCTGCGCGAAATCGGGTTAAGGGTCGGGGACTATCGAGAAAAATTGGCCGATATACTGTGCTCCCGGTAGTCCCCGAAACCCTTTGTGGGCTAATTGAATAGGACAACCCATAGGTTAGGTTGAGACACCTACGCTCCCTTAGTGGTGAGAGGGTTGGGGTGATCTTCAGTATACTACGGGTGGAAGGCCATGTGAGCGAACATAGCTCTCTCGCTTGCATGGATTGCCAAGAGCTTTACAGTTTAGAAAATTTCGGTTGAGTTACGGTTATAGAAAATTTAGGTTTAGTTATAGTTACCGATAAATTAGGATTAGTTAGTTTCGTTAGAAGATCCCCAATTCCTCTTCGGAGAGGGTCCCTACCGGATTTGCTACCTGATAATAGGCGTAGACGGGACCAAAAATCCGCTCCCCCGAAATCTCGCTCACAACCCCTTGAAAAACTTTATTGCGGCTAACAGCCGGTTAGCAGAGTTAATAGAACCCCCTGAGTCATAGAAAATTAAAATAATATTAATAAATAGTCGTAAACCGACAAAAACCCCATTTCAAATTTAAATTTGTTACGCGCCGCGAGCTAGGGAAATTCAAGATTAAGGCTAACTCGGTATCTAGCCACGCGCGCCGCCACCGGACGGGTGCACTCGAAGGGAATCACCCCCACCCCGAGCAACAGGTTCGAACGGAACCACGCGACCGGCCGGCATTAGTTCACCCCAGGCCGTTGTTCTACACGTGCGTGAGAAATCCGATAGTGCATCATCAAGACGCCACACTCCTGCCCATCGTTACCTGCACCTCACAAATCGTGTTCCTGAGACTCCACGGGCACCATGGTAAGTACCCGTGTGGTTAATTAAGTGCCAATGCGTGCGGGAAGTGTGATTTTCGCGTAATTAGGTGTCGCGGGCACGAAAATTTGCAAATGTCGTCGCTACCTCGCGATATGACGCCATACGGGAAACTCACGGTTGAGAAAGCCAAAAAGGCCTCTCTCAACGGCTCCCTATGCTCCCTAATGCTCCCTGATGCTGCCTCGTGTTAACCAAAAGCTAGTTAATCATTTTAAACTTGTTTTAGGAATTAATTTCGCCACGAAAAGGCGAAATATACGGGATGAGGCATTCCACGCGGCTCGTAATACCCCTCTCCCATGCTACCTATGGCTGCCTATTTTCTACGCTCTCTAATAATCATTATTCGATCCCTGCTACCTACTTTATTGGGTTTTCTAGGCTCACCCGACGAGCTCAGGAAAAGACCCCGCTACCTGATAAATTTTGCTACCTTTACCGGGCTTATGTTTGCTACCTTGACTGACATTTAATTGCTACCTTTTAATAAAAATTTATCGTGGACCTTCCATTAAATTATTGCTACCGTTACATTAAAAATTTTATTGCTACCTCTTATTAAAAATTTCGGCTGCCTTCGCGAGGCACGATCAATTTCTCTGGGTGATGCAATAATGCTCCCCGAGACGTAATTGTCCGCCATTTTGTGGATTCCGGTTGGGCATGGGGACGCTATCTCTTTGTTAATTATTTTTCATGGTTGGAATCCACAATAGCTATCATGCTACCTCTCGCGAATTAGGATTACTTTTATATGGTTACGCAATTAATTAACCAATTCATCCGATTACTTATTGGCCGTCTCGGAGACGCCATCGGGTATCTAATTTATTATTTCGTTGGCGAAGTAATCAGTTGTTTAATTAATAATTGCCTCTTCAGACCGGTAACAATCCGTTTAGTCGCGAATTAATCCATCAATAATGAAAGGGAGAATGTTGGGTACGGCTATCTACCACAGCACGGTTGTTGATTTAGCCCGTGACCGAGGAAGTTTATACCAAACCCCCAAATTACGCTACCTAAACAGGGGAATAAGCTACCTATACATTCCCCAGGGTCTGAGGCCCTTTCCGTAATTTTCAATATATCGATTTGCTACCTGTACGGATATTTACCCTGCGGACCCTATTGATTTAGATAATCGGTATTGAGTAGGCTACCTAACCGGGAAAACCCGTTACCTAAGGGCTCCCTGCCTCGGAGGACCCAAACGCTACCATGAAATTTTATTACACCCCCGACGTGGTGGTGGCCTCGTAGGTAAAAAAGATTTTTGGTGAGCGACCCCGATTCCTCTATCAAAGCCCCGGATAACGCTACCTAACGCGGGAACTAAGCTACCTAATGACCCCTATACCTGCGGCCCATTCCCGTTACCGAAATGATCATCACGCTACCTCAACCGCTACATAACCGACAAATATTCCTGATTTAAGAAATTAGTCAGAAACGGGCCACCAGATTGAGTAAAGTCGTTACCGAACCATGAAATAATGCTACCTAATAGAATTTGTACCTTAGCAACTGATCGGTAGGAATTTTAAGGTCGTATCTCTCTCTCTCGCTCGAACCCGATTAGACTCCCCTGCAGTTTCCTATCTTTTCCACCAGAATAACATAAGTAATTTAATAAAATCAAAAGCCGTTCTCTCTTCAGTGCTGCGTTATAAAACTCCCATTTATTATGGTTCCCTGTATATTTTATTAAAAAGCTAAATCTTTCTCTTTTGGGCGAATGCCGGTCATATGGAAAATGTAGACTGAGCAATCTATATTAATTATAAGTTCCCTAATAGATAATATTTATTTTTGTTCTCTGGTCAATAGTGGAACAAGTAAGGATATTTCCGACTGGTTTTTATTTTTCCTACCCGAATCCCCGTCGCTATAAATTCCCAAATAGTTTAGTTCAGGTTCTTGATCTTATTTCGAATTTTGGATAATTGATGCTCTCGTCTACGAATCCACCCCTCTCTCCGCGACCCGCACACTGAGCAACCGAGCAGTTCCGTACCCTCGTACCTCCACGACTCTAGGTTTAGCTTCTGTTGATAGGAAATTCTGGGATGATCAGTGAAAAATTGAGTTTTGAATACGGTTAGAGTTACGGTTGCGGTTCGTCGATTCCGCGTAGCTAAAAATCGGCTGGCGCCCTAAACACATTTTTAAGGATTGGAATGAGCTGCTAATCACCGCCGGAGCGTCGTTTAGATTTTTATGGTTTTGTCGTTCCAGAGTCGTCGGAGTTGCGAGAACGAAGGTAATGGTTTTGGCCGTGTTTTCGGATATCGATAAAATTGGGTTAGGGTTTCGAGTATTCGCTGAGGCCATAGAGGAAAAATCATTACAATATATATAAAGAAAAACAACTAAACAAAAGGTCTTCAGTATCAGAAGAGAAAACTAAACAAAACGGTTGAAAGCCCCATAACAAAAAAACAATCAAAAAAACACTGAGTAGCCACTCTGATTATGAGTGGATGGTCGGAGGCTTTTTCCTCCGCGCGTGCCTCCGTCTCGCGGAGATGGGCCGCTGATTCCTCAGGGATGTTGCCGTCGATTTATCGGGGATGGTACCTACGCTCCGGACTCTGCTGCTGGCTGCTGGTGCGGACGGGGCTTGCCATGGCTCCC